TCACAAAGATAGGCCACATGTTAGGAGACAAAAAAAAAATCTCTACAAGTTCAAGAAGACTGAAATCATATCAAGCATCTTCTCAGATCACAATGGAATGAAATTAGAAATCAACTACAGTAAAACACACACACACACACTCAAAAACATCCAAACAAATAGAGGCTAAATAACATGTTACTAAACAATGAATAGGTTACCAATGAGATCAACAAAGAAATAAAAAAAACTTTCTGAAAACAAATGAAAATGAACACACAACAACCCAAAGCCTCTGAGACAGCAAAAGCAGTCCTGAGAAGGAAGTTCATAGCACTATAGCCCTACCTCAAAAAACAAGAAAAATTAATAATAAATTATTTAACCCTACAACTTAAAGAATTAGAAAGAGAACAACAAGAAAAACCCAGAGTCAGTAGAAGGAAGGAAATTATAATAAAGATTAGAGCAGAAATAAATGACATAGAGATTTTTTAAAAAAATACCAAAAAAATCAATGAAACCAAGAGCTGGTTCTTTGAAAAAATAAACAAGATTGATGAACCTTTAGTCAGATTCATCAAGAAACAAAGAAAGAGACCCAAATAATTAAAATCAGAAAGGAAAGTGGTAAAGTAACAACTGATACAACAGAAATACAAAGGATTGTAAGAACATACTATTAACAACTATATGCCAACAAGCTGGATAATGTGGAGGAAAAGGGCAAATTCCTAGAAAAGTACATCTTTCAAAACTGAATCAGGAAGGATCAGATAACCTGAATAGGCCAATAACAACTAATTAAATTAAAGCACTAATCAAAAAACTCCCAGCAAACAAAAACCCTGACCCGGATGGCTTCAGAAAAGAGTTTTACCAAATATTCAGAGAAGAACTAAAACCTATTCTCCTCAAAGTATTCCAAAAAATCCAAGAGGAAGGAATACTTCCAACCTCTTTTTATGAGGTCAACATTACCCTAATTCCAAAACCAGATAATGATACTACAAAGAAAGATAATTACAGGCCAATATCCCTGATGAACTTAGATGCTAAAATCCTCAACAAAATATTAGTAAATCACACCCAGCAATACATTAAAAAGATCATACAGTGTGACCAAGTGGGATTTACTCCAGGGATGCAAGGCTGGTACAATATTCACAAATCAATTAACATGATACATCACATAAACATACTGAAAGACAAAAATCAGGTGATTATATCAATAGATGTAGAAAAAGCATTCAACAAAATCCAACACCCATTTTTGATAAAAACTCTCAACAAAATGGGAAGAGAGGGACCACGTATCAACATAATAAAGGCCATATATGACAAACCTATAGCCAACATCATACTCAATGGGCAAAAACTAAAACCATTGCCCCTAAGAACAGGAATAAGACAGGGATGTGTGCTTTCACCACTCTTATTCAACACAGTACTGGAAGTCCTAGCCACAGTGTAAGACAAGAATAAACATAAAAGACATCCCAACTGCCATTATTTGCAGATGACATGATATTGTACAAAGAAAATCCTAAAGACTCTACCAAAAAAATTAGTAGATTTAATAAAAGAATTCGACAATGTACCAGGATACAAAATTAGCACCCAGAAATCCATGGCATTTTTATACACCAATAATGAATTCTCAGAAAGAGAAACTAAACAAACAATCCCATTTACCATGGCAACAAAAACACTAAGATACTTAGGAATAAACTTAAACAAGGAGATAAAAGACTTGTACTTGGAAAACTAGAGAACAATGAAAAAAGGGATAGAAGAAGATATACTCAAGTGAAAGAATATACTGTGTTCACGGACTGGTAGAATCAACATCATTAAAATGTCCGTACTACCCAAAGCAATTTATAGATTCCATGCAATCCCTATCAAATTACCAACAGCATATTTCACAAATCTAGAATAAGTACTCCAAAAATTTATATGGAACCAAAAAAGACCCTGAATTGCAAATCAACAAATGACAAGTGCTGGTGATGATGTAGAGAAAAGGGAACCCTAGTACACCGCTGGTGGGAATGCAGACTAGTGCAGCCATTATGGAAAACAGTATGGGGTTTCCTCAGAAAATTAAATATGGAACTGCCATTTGACCCAGTGATCCCAATTCTAGGAATATATCCTAAGAAACCCAAAACACCAACCATAAAGAAATGTATGCACCCCTATGTTCATAGAAGCACAACTTACAATAGCTAATATCTGGAAACAATCCAAATGCCCATCAGTAGATGAGTGGATAAAAAGGCTGTGGTACATTTACACCATGGAATACTATGCAGCAGTAAAAAAGAAGGATCTCCTACACTTTGAGACAACAAGGAAGCTACCTGGAGAGTATTATATTAAGTGAAATATACCAGTTAGAGAAAGACAAGTATCACATGATCTCACTCATATGTGGAATCTAATTAACAAAATAAATTTTTGAACAAAATAGATCCAGAGACACAGAAGCATGGAACAGACTGTAGGATCTCAGAGGGAAGGGAGGGGTGGAGGGGTGGAAGAGAAGAGGTCAGCCAAAGAACTTTTATGCATATATGCATAACACATGGACACAGACAATAGGGTGCTGAAGGCTTGGGGGAGGGGGTGGGATGTTATAGAAGGGGGTCAATGGGGGAAAATGAGAACATATGTAATACTTTCGACAATAAAGATCTAAAATTTTTTCTAAAAAACACACAAAAAAACCCTAGGAAGTAATGAGTTTAAAATATTGTTTTTACTATAATTTATTTAATGTAAGTTTATATAATTTAATTTTTAAATGGCTGTGCTTGAAAGCAGCTTGAAAATTGGTGGAAAATGTAACAATAGGCTCTTGCAAGCTGATATGAGCCCATTCTAGCATAGCAGGGCATCACTGCCCTTCTAGATTCCCTCCCTATATCATGGATTTCCCTTCTCAATCACTTGTACTAGTCCTCCTCCATCCTCAAGCCTCTAAACTTCTGGAGACTTTCAATTCTTACTCCTTAGGTAACCTATCCAGTATCCTGGCTTTAAATACTGTCAGTAATCTCAAGACTCCCACATTCATATCTATACTAAAGGTCCAGTGCACATAATTTGTGCATGGGTAGGGTCCCTAGCGGCTGCCAGACAGGGTCTTCCTTCATTTCAGGATGGCCCCTGGTGGTCAGCGCACATCATAGCGAGTGATTGAACTCCGGGTCTGCTGAACTCCTGAGGGGACACTGCATATTAGGCTTTTATATATAGAGATAGATAGTTCCGACCTTTCTCCTGAGTTACAGATTCATCTAACTGTATATTCAACATTTCCATTTTGATGTCTAATAGGCATATCAAACTCACCCTGTCAAAACTGAACTTCAGATCTTATTCACCACTCCCAACCTACTTCTCCGGCAATGTTCTCCATCTCCAAGCCTTTCAATTGTTCAAGCCAATATCACTAGAGTCATCATTCATTCTTCTTCTCTAATTCTCTACACCTAATCTATCAGTAAATCTTGTTGGCTCTAACATCAAATTATATGCAGAATCCTATCACTTCTCACCACCTCCAGTGCTACCAGCTAGGTCCAGGCCACTACCTTCTATCCCCTGCATTACTGCAATAACCTCCTACTAGTCTACATGCTGTCACCTTTGCCCTCCTACAGTCATTTCTTTTTCTTTTTTTCCCCTACAGCCATTTCTAAACACAGCAACCAGAAAGATCATAAGTCAGATAACATCACCCCTCAACTTAAACCCTCCAGTGACTCCCCATCTCACTCAGCAAAAGCCCACCTCTCTGATTTCAGTTCTTACACTTCTCCTCTTCCTCAGTCTACTCCAACCATAGTGATCTCTGCTTTTTCTCAATATACCAAGAACTCTCCTACCTGAGAGATATTCTTGCTCTTCTACCTAAACATTCTTCCCTCAAATGTCCATAAAGCTTACTCCTTGACTTCTTTCATATTTCTATTCATATGTCACCTTGTCAAGGAGGCCTTCCTTACTACTCCTATATGACATAGCAAACCTCAAGCTTACTCCCTTGAAAGAAGGGAGAATTTCAATAAGCAGTAATAAGTGGAAAACATCTTGTAATTATTCTTTTTTACCTGAGAAGGTTAGAAATACAAAAATGACTGTGGATACACAGGAAACCCTCTCCAATTTTAATTTTAAAATAAGAGGTATTCAAAGTTGCCTTTGAATCAAAAACAAATATTTGAAACCTTCCGTCGATAATTAAACCATCAGCAGTTTCCCTAAATGACAGTGGCTTAGTGAACTCGCCTTCAACCATTCCTTAACATTAATGTTAGTAATCAACAGTATAATAATTATGCTATGCCTCCCCCAAATACTTAAATGTGTCTTTAGACTCTAATTATCTGATTATCTCTAGTGCCTCAAGCTTTAGTATTTTTTATTCTTAATTTGTTAGTTTCTGAAATTTTACTAAGTATAAGGAAACTTTTTCTCTTTTCTTACAATTACAATTTTTAA